TAAACTTTGTAAAAGAACAAACAATAGAATTCACAGTCAATAGAACTATTTTTCCAGCAGACAATGAAAAGTCCAAAATCGAGATATAAAACGTCTTTAAAAAAAATGTCTTTAAGACGTCTTATTTTCGAACATGCGTGTTGTCTGAATTGGTAAATTTAATAGTACTATTCATAAAACACTTTCTATTCATGGCATTTGATATATACATATATATGTTTTTATTTCAAATCGAAATTTAAGTAGGTAATGTCCAATTAAAAAACAAAAGATTTATAAAAGTTTCTAAACTGTTATTAAAATTGTTAGTAAAGAATTCATTTTGTACTCTCTCGACGGTATTAGAATTGATATACTCTCTAAAATTTGTAAAGTGAATCTCACTCTTAAAGATTGAAAATTAAGCCACTTTTTTTCAAGACTAGCTAATAATATTCACCTTTTAGACTGAGATTTCACACCAAAGAATTTAGAGGGTATAAATAGGTGAAAATTAAAGTAAAATTTAAGGCAAAAATTAAGACGATCTCGTAAATTAAGATTGCCCAATGTGATGATGGAAAACGTTTTTAAAAATAATTTTAATCGACCACGATCAGTCGGCTGAACAATTGAAGGACGATGACAACGTCACAACATTTCGATCTCCGTTTCCGACAGAGATACCGACTTTGAGAACGTCGCGTCGCGACACACGCGACTTTTTCACAAGCGCATGCGAAGTTCGTTCTTAATCCAATGCAATGTTATCACGGTGACAATGAAAGTTGCTGTTGTCCACCGGCATTTCCGCCGTTCATTCTGTTATCCCATTCCATTCTGTTCCATTCTTCCTGTGGATAAATCAATTTCAGAACATAAAAGTAGGTTACTCGACTTGGAGGACAATGCTTTTTACAGATCACTCACTGGCAGCATCCACGATTCCACGCCTACTTCCCGTCCGGCAACTCGTTCCCCTCAATCCTGGGTGACCTGTTGTCAGATGCGATCGGCTGCATCGGCTTTTCGTGGGCGGCCAGCCCGGCTTGCACCGAGCTCGAGACAATCGTGTTGGATTGGTACGCCAAGGCGATCAACCTGCCGACCGAGTTTCTGTCGGAGCAAAAAGTCGGCGGCGGCGTGATCCAGGGTTCAGCCTCCGAGTGCATCCTGGTGACGATGCTGGCGGCGCGTACGCAGGTTATCAAGAAGCTGAAGGAGCAGGAACCCAATAAGGAGGACTCGGCGTTTCTACCGAGATTGGTGGCCTACTGTTCCACGGAGTCGCACTCGTGCGTGGAGAAGGCGGCGATGATAAGCCTGGTGAAACTCCGAGTGCTCGAGCCGGATGACAAGGCCGCGTTACGTGGCAAACGGCTCGAATTAGCCATCAAGGAGGACGTGGAGAACGGTCTCGTGCCATTCTATGTGTCCGCCACTCTGGGTACCACTGGCTCCTGCGCCTTCGACAATCTCGTGGAGATCGGACCTGTGTGCAAGTTGTATCCCAATATCTGGCTACACGTGGACGGCGCTTACGCCGGTAACGCTTTTATCTGCCCGGAGATGAGACCGTTCATGGACGGCATCGAACATGCCGATTCGTTCAACACGAATCCCAACAAGTGGTTGCTGGTGAACTTCGACTGCTCCTGTCTGTGGGTGCGCAATCGAGTGAAGCTCACATCAGCGCTGGTCGTCGATCCACTCTATCTTCAACACGCTCGCTCGGGCGAGTCGATCGACTACCGTCACTGGGGTATCCCGCTAAGCAGACGATTTCGAGCGTTGAAGCTCTGGTTCGTTATGAGATCGTACGGCATCAGCGGCTTGCAGAAGTACATTAGGAATCACATAAGGCTAGCCAAGAGATTCGAGGCGCACATGAAGAAAGACAAGCGCTTCGAAATTTTGAACGATGTGCGAGTCGGCCTGGTGTGCTTCCGATTGAAGGAGAGCGAAGAGATGAATCAGGAGTTGTTAGCTAACATTAACGCCTCCGGTCGGTTGCACATGATACCAGCTCGTGTGATGGGCAAGTATATCTTGCGTTTCTGCGTGACAAAGGAGGATGCGACCGAGGACGACATCGATTATGCCCTTAGCGTGATCGAGGAACATGCTACGGAAGTGATGCTGGCTCACTACGAGGGCACGGAGGACGAGTACAGAGCGAAGGGCCCGAAGAGTCCAAACGCTCTCGACAAGAAACTCGTACGGAAGTTCAGCTTCACCAGGAGCGTCACCAGAGACGTTTACAAAAGATCTATCTCCAAATCTAGCCTACACGACGGCGCGACACCCATTATGGTCGTCGACGATAACTCGCAAGTCGACCCCATCGACGACGACCGTTTCTGTAATAGCAGGTAACCTATTCCAGTTTCTAAACAAATTTCAAGTTTCATACTTTTTGCAAAATATGTCAATGAGATATGATTTTATTCTCAGTTTTATTTATTTTGTTTCTTATTTTATTTCTCATAAATCTTATTATTTTTATCTTCTATTTAAATACGATGACAGAAGATAAAATAAAATTTCTTTTCTTTTCATTCGACTAAAAAAATTTTAAAAGCTCTTGATCAGTTAATAAATTTATCATTATCATTTATTATTATCATTATCAAGCTAACAACGAAAAAGAAACTGACCAAGAGCTTTTAAAATTTTTTTAGTCGAATGAAAAGAAAAGAAATTTTATAAATATAAGTAAACTTTTTAAGTAAAATTAACATATTGATTTATTTTTTAAGCTACAAAACTTTTTTTTTTTATTTTAATTATTGATGAAATATTAATTTCAGATCGTGACGATGTCGATGACGGTCCCCAGCGCCGACTCGGGACGACGTAGATGATAATAAAAAGGGCCCTCGCTACACGGCCGTGTGATGCGAAACTCTGACGGCCCACCGTCGTCAATTTACCGATTCCCGAAGTCGCGTTTGTTGATAAGGACCGACTATCACCGATTACATCGCCACGTGAGTGTTTAGTCAAATTATTCGTCACCGATTAAATTCGCTAAATACCACCGAAGACGATCTCGCTCGTTTATGAACGATGGATCGGTCGTATATTATCTCGAGCACGAGTGATTCTTCGTGGCAACAAATTGCGTCAATGGCACATGAGCCAAGTTTTGCGATAAAGCGTGAGATTCTCAAGCACATTTTAGACAGTCTGTAATAAGCGACAGAATTTGGCTTAAACAATTTAATTACGAACGCACACATATAATGCAAAAAGAAATTCAAGTAGTATAAGCTTTTTTTATTACGATCGAGTTTTTATAAGATGAAGATTTTTATTAAAATTATAGATAGAATTTTCCCGCATACAGAAATTCTGTTCCGAGCTACGGACGGTCTAAAGTGGGTTTTAGAGGCGGCTGCGCGTACAGTTAACGTAGTCGTTTGATCTATTTTGGTACACACACAC